GGCCGCGGACGTGGCCGCGCAACCACACCTGGCGGCTCCACCTTGGGGCGCTGAAGCCAGCAAATCACTGGAGACATCCTCACTTGTTGCTTCGGAAGCAGACAAGTCCAAGCCACCAAACAGGCAAACCGCATGCGACATTCCCACAATCGGGCCGCGAACAGGGCCGTGCAACCACCCTTGTCTGCTCCCCCTTTGAGGTGCTGAAGCCCGCGAATCGGTTGAGACATCCTCACGATCTGTTCTGAAAGCAGAAAAGTCTCAGCCACCAAACTGTCCAACCGCCTAAGACATCCTCACAATCTGGCCACGAACGTGGCCGTGAAACCACCCCTGGCGCCCCATTGTGAAACCAGCAAATCGGCCCAGACATCCTCACAACAAAAGTGAGTGAGTCTGGATGTAAGTGAGTCTACGTATGAGTAAGTCTGAGTGAGGAAGAAGATGTGAGTGAGTCTGAGTGTGAGTGAGTCTGAGTACGAGAGAGTCTGAGAATGACTGGGGCTAAGTGCGAGTGAGTCTGAGTATGACCGAGTCTGAGTGAGGAAGAGGAAGGGGAAGGAGGGGAGGAAAGAGATGAGGAGGAGGGAGTCGGAGGCGTCTCAGTAATAACAAGAACCCTACCTTATCATATGGAGAACAGGAAGGTAGAAGATGGGAAGAAACAAAACATCGACGACGACGGCGACGACAATCGAAACGAAGACACTGGCGAAGAGGTCGACGACAATGGGCGGAAGGGACATTGCAAAACGGGCGGCCAAGCGGGATATGATTTGAGTGCAAGCTTGCTCGTTCACGAGGCAGGGCTCGACTACGCGCGCCGGCAACACTGCCGTCCCCCCCGGGGGGGTCGCACACCCCCCCACGCCGCTGCGCCTCCCAGATGGGGTCGCTCATTTATAATTCTTTACGCTTCGCGTATCCCCACCAGCCCATCTCACAGCAGCAACTCTCGCGAAGCATGCCGACAGTCGTGTTTTTCAGGCGTGTGTCCGCTTGGCCCCGCATATCTCCCCTGTTCCTCCTTCCTCCCGCCTCCTTGTACATCCTCCTTGTGGGGGGAGCGGGAGAAGGACGAGGCGAGGAGGAGGGAGAGAAAGCGCTCCTCGTGGTTTGAGTCGTTTGGGGTTTCTCGTCCTGGTCTGAGTCGTTCGGGCCCTTCTTCCTGGTGTGAGTCGTTCGGGCTCTTCGTGGTGTGAGTCGTTCGGGCTCTTCGTCCTGGTGTGAGTCGTTCGGGCTTCTCGTGGTGTGAGTTGTTCGGGCCCCTCATCCTGGTGTGAGTCGTTCGGGCCCCTCCTCCTGGTGTGACTCGTTCGGGCTCCTCGTGGTGTGAGTCGTTCGGGGCCCGCGTCGTGGTGTGAGTCGTTCGGGCTCCTCGTGGTGTGAGTCGTTCGGGCGCCTCGTCCTGGTGTGAGTCGTTCGGGCCCCTCCTTGTGGTGTGAGTCGTTCGGGCTCTTCGTGGTGTGAGTCGTTCGGGCCCCTCGTCCTGGTGTGAGTCGTTCGGGCGTGGGGCCTCTTGGGGGCCTCTTGGAGGGGGCCTCTTGGGGGCCTCTTGGGGGCTTGGGGGCCTCTTGGGGGCCTCTTGGGGCCTCTTGGGGGCCTCTTGGGGGCCTCTTGGGGCCGCTTGGGGGCCTCTGGGGGGCCTCTTGGAGGCCTCTTGGGAGCCTCCTGGGGGCCTCTTGGGGCCATCTTGGGGCCTCTTGCGACCTCCGCAGAAGCGCAAAGGAGAGCTGCCCCCTGAGAAGGACAAAATGAAGCCCAAAACCTTCGTAAAATCAATGATTTTGCTAGGAAGGAAGATGAGCGCGGCCCCCTCAGGAGGCCAACATGGGGCCAAAACCCTAGTAAAATCAATGATTCTGGCTTCAAAGAAGAGCAGAGGGGCCAAACTCGCCCCCCCCGTCGGGGCCAGAATCCTCGTGAGGGTCGTCGTTTTTTGGCCCTCCCAGGAGTCGAAAAAGACCCCTCCAACGACCCGCGGGGCACCCTCTCCAGGTCCAGGGGGAGGGGGTAGGGGAGGGGTAAACCCTTCCCCGAAGGGGAAGAAGGGGGGTTGAGGACAGAGCGGGCTCTCTAAACCACTCACGCCCAAAGGGCTGGTGGGATTCTCTGAAAGTTCTTGATTTCTTGGGTGGGCCAAGATCTTTTCATGTCTAATTGTTCTATCCTGGGCCTCTTCCTGGCCACTAGGGGGCCAGGAACAATTAGAAACGAGCACAATTAGAAATGAGCACGATTAGAAATGAACGACGTTTATCCTGCCAAGGTCTGGGCCTCCTGGATGGGGTCGGGGTAGATGGGGTCGGAGGATCGCTCCGCATCGCCGATTTATCGGCGATGCGGCTCGATATGGAGCCCGGTCTTCTCCACGCCGACGTCGCCGACGCATCGCCGACGTCGCCGATGTATCGCCGATGCATCGGGGATGTATCGCCGATGCATCGGCGATGCGGCGCGATCCTCCGACCCCGTCTACTCCGACCCCATCTAGGAGGCCTCGATGGTCGATGCTTGCAGGGACGACGACAGCGGGACGACGACAGCGGCAGGGGACGATGAGTAGAGGGCCACATGCGAACCCTACCCCTACCCCTCACGATTTCGGAGGGGGAGGGTGTGGCCCCCTCCCGAGGGGCCCGGGCCCCCCCCACGCCGCCCTCTTGGGGAGAAGCTGGTCCCGCCAGGTCGACATTGCGCGCTCGCCGCGCCTCGCTCCGCCGCTCTGGAGGGATCGGTGGCGAGCGATGGGGGGGGGGACATTCAGGAGGGGAGAAAACACACAGACACAATTAATCGTCGATCCCCCAGAGAATATGGGAAAGTATGGGGAGTGGGGGGGAAGACAGAAACCCCGAAAATATCGGGAAATATGGGGAATCCTGTTATTCGTGTCTATGCATTTGTGTATCCCAGGGCCCCTTCAGAAATGAGAAGGGGAAGGCCTGCTCCGAAGGCGGCGGGACTTCTCAGAAGCCCTCGCGCCAGCTGAGAAGTCTTCTGCGTCTTCGGGGAAAGCTTAGAGAATCTCTCAGAAGGCCGAGGTTTCCGAGCCTTCTGAGAAGGCCCGTTCCTTCTCTCTTCCCCCCCATCGCTCGCCGGCGATTGACAGGAGGGTGGCCTCCCACTCGAGGTGGGGATCGAGATTGCCGAGAACTTCGGGGGGGTCCGGTTAGGACATGTTAGGACCCTCCCGCCCGCAGGCGCCCAAAGAAGACACCCTTTCCGACCTCTGGCGTTTTGTTTCTTTGTTCAACGCAGCGTGTTCCTCACTTTCGGCCTCAGGGGGAGTCATCCGCGAAGAAATTGTCCCCAGGGAGTTGGACTAACTTTCTGGGGTCCACGGACTGACATGACGTCAGGGGCCCAGGGTGGTCGTCGTCTCCGCCGCCGCCGTCGACCTCCTTGCCGTCGTCTTGTGACATCTAATGGCCTTCGTCCCATTCCGCCACCGTGCCTGGGTTATGGGTCTGAGTCCTCAGGGATGCTTCTTGGGGTCTCTTCGGGGCGCTCTCGGGGGCAGCTTGGGGGGCAGTTTGGGGGCCCCTTGGGGACCTCTGGAAGACCTCTTGGGGGCCGTTTGGGGGCCGTTGGGGGCTTCCTGGGGGCCTCTTGCTAGCCTCTTGGGGGCCTCTTTGGAGCCTCCGGGGGGCCTCTCGGGGCCGAGGGCTCGAAATGTCCGTTCAGGTCCCCCATCTGGGCCCCATCTTGGCGGTCTTGGGAGCTTCTTGGGCCGTTTTGGAGGCCTCGTGGGCCGGCTTGGGGCCCTCTTGGGCCGTTTTTGGGCCCTCTTGGAGGCCTATTCGGATGTCTAAGGCCGATATTGGGGGCCTCCCGGGCCGTCTCGGAACGCCGGGGAGCCGAAAAGGCGAGAACGCCAAAATCATTCAAGAACCATAGGACAATTGATGGTTTGTGCCTCTTGGTGCCGTCTTGAGAGTGCTCCTGGGGGCCTCTTTGGGCGTCTCCGAGCCTCTTGGGCCATCTGGAGGCCATCTTGGGCGTCTTGGAGCGTTTTTTCGGCCATTCTGGGCCGTCCTGCAACGTCTGGGCGGCTTCCTGGGGCTTCTTGACCCGCTTTGGAGACCTCCTTGGCGAGGCGACCGTCCCAGAGGCCCACGCGAGACACCCTGGCAGCGCCCGGCACCGCACGGCACGAGAGCGCCTGGGGGGGTTGGGGTTCCGGGCCCTTCAACCTGACAAGCCCTTTTCCTTTCAGGGCTGCATGAGCCTTGGGGCACTCCACTGCGTGCCAGAGGCACGGTGGCGTTCGAATAACCAGTAGGACAATGGAGCCTCACGTAGTGTTGCTAGTAGGGGCGGGGGGGAATTGGTGGCGGAGCAGCAGGGTGGTCCTCAGGCGCCCAAAAATTGTTCAACATCGTGCTGGACAGGCGGGTGGTCGTTACATCTTTGAAGTCGGCTTGCAAGACGGGCCCAGGGCTCCCACCGGACCACGAAGGCCTCAGGCGGGTGGGCGCGGAAAAGATTGGTTCGGACCTCTGGCTGGGAATGCGAAGTCGCAGATACAGCGTGTACGAAACTTGATATCCGATTGTGAGTGCAGTCGACCCGTATGGTGAGGATTAACGACTTTCCCAAGGGTGCCCTTGCATCCTTGTCTCCTCGGCCCATGCTTGACCACTTTCGTTGGCCGCGCCCCGCTCGAAAAGCTTCGAACTGGCCTCCCAAGGCCCTTGCATCCTTATCGCGCATCCTTGCGATGCGGACCGGCTGCACTGCTTCTGTTAAAGCGCCCCGCTCGACAAGCTTCCTTTTCATCCTTATCGCGCATCCTTCTGATACGGGCCGACTCTACTGCTTCTCTTCTCCCCTGCGCCCCCCGCTGCAGGAAAAACGCCAGGACGGACAGAGTCTATCCGCACGACCTCCTGGGCCCTTCCTTCGAAGGCGCCCATGCCACCGCGCGCCCGCGTTGATACCGAGCCGCCGCGGCCGCCGGCGCGGGCGCGGGCGCTTGAGCGCGCGCGCGCGCCGAGGTCCAGACGCGTGGACCTTCGACCCCTTCGTGCGCGTGCAGGTCGTCGCGCGCGACCCCAGGCGCTCCCCGCGACCCCGCTCGGAGGGCGCCAGCCAGCTACCCAGACATCCAGCGCTTCAACAGAATCGCGGCGTCCGCTCTGTGGCCACGTTTGACCTCTGGAGCCCGGTTTCGGGCCCCAGGGCCGTCAAGGAACGGCTCGGGACGGAAACCCTTGCCTGGGGAAGGGGTCACGAGATCCAGGGGCTCATGCCTCGGAGAAGCCGGAGCGCATCGGTGCAGACGTGCACGCCTTCCCGGCCAGGCCACGAGTACGCACGCACCTTCCCTGGCCAGGCCTGCAGGGATGGCGCGTGCACCCTTGGGCCAGGCCAGGGTCGGCGCTGGTGTACACTCGGGCTCCCCGCGCTCCCAGCCGCGGCCGATGCAGCCGCAGTCGTCGCCCCGTTTCCCCGGGGACGCAGGCCAGCTTGGAAAGTTGGCCCAGCGATGAGAAGGAGGGGTGGCCTTGTCGTCGTCCATCTCTCGCTCCGCCTCGCCTCGCGTCCCCGCTCGTCGTGCGTCCCTCCCTCCGTGCGTCCCCCTCTCTGCATGATGTGCGAATGTATCCTTCATGTAGTGCCTCCCGACGCGCCTTGGGCGTACGGCTTCTGTCTGTGTCTGCGTGTCTGTCCGGAGCAATCCGGCCGGCGCAACGCGGTGCAATCCAGCCCGTGCAAGGCCCCGCGATCGCACCGGTGCAATCCGGCTGGGGCCCTAGATACAGCTGGGCCGTTTCACCACACGAGAATGTTGGACTCGCGGTGTTCCGCGTCATGGCCTTCGTCCCCCAGGCGCGGTTGGGGCACGCCTTCGAGGTGTGGCTGGGGGGCGCCCCAGCGACGTGGGAGCCCGAGAGTGACTCTGTCTGTCTGTCTGGCTGGTTGGTTTGCTGTCTGTCTGTCTGTCCGGGGGCCACGCGAGGCACCATGGGCACCACATTCGGCCAGTTGATCAGCAATCCACCTTCCTGAATACAATGGGTTCGGCGGTGCTCGGCGGGCTGATGCGGGAACCCTCAGCGGTCTGTGGGGGCGTTGCTGGAGGTGCCCCAAGGTTCTCTCGACGAGCCCAGCCGTGGCGGCGACTGAGAATGCTTCGGAACCTTACGGACCGAGGACAAAGTCCAAAGGCCCAGTTGGATCCGATGGGCAGACGGGCGGCCTGCCCCCCCCCTCCATTCCCCCCCCCCTGTTCCTTCAAACGAAAGTCAAAAACAGACTTCCCGTTCATAACGTTGTCCCCCTTCTCCCCCCCTCCTCCTCCTCCCACCTCCTCCTCCTCCTCCTCCCTCCTCCTCCCTCCTCCTCCTCCTCCTCCTCCTCCTCCTCCTCCTCCTCCTCCTCCTCCTCTTCCTCCTCCTCCTCCTCCTTCCTCGAATATGGCGTCGTGGAGGCCCGTGCCCTTGCAGACCTCCTGCGCCTTCCTTCTTCCCAACCGTCCAGCCTGTGGTGGTGGGCTGCCGTCGTTTAAGAATCAGCAACACCCCGCCCCACTTCTTCCCGCCCCTCCCCCTTTCCGCCCCTTCCCGTCGCCTCTGCCACCACCCCCGCCCCCGCCCGCCCACTCCCCCTTACCTTCGGCCCCCCCTGCCCTCCCCATCCCCGCCCCCCTCCCCTTGCACCTCCCACCGCATCCGGGACGAAGTACATTTCGCCGTGACTAATCCCAATCAAGTTGTACGTTCCCCGACCAGCTCGGCGCGACAAACTAGCACGAATTCCAGCCGCCCACGAAACTTCACTAGATGATTCTTAGTGTGAGGCCATGCCAGTATATCCCAAGACCAAGAAATCTGATTGTGTGTGTACATGTTTCCAAGGCACTGGCGTGATTGCCCGTGTTGTCATGTGTACCAGTTATGTTTGGGCATGTTGTTGTCAAAAGGCTTACGGACGCGAGGGTTTAAGGATTCCAAGCGTAAGAGTTTTAAAGGGCTCAAGGGCTTAAGTTTGTAAAATCTTAACAGTTTGTGGGTTGCATGGGATTGTTTGAAGGCTTGCAGCGCTTATGGTTTGAACGGCTTAAGGGTTCAAGGGCTGAGAAAGGCTCACGGGCTTCAAGGGTTTTGGTGTTCAAGCGCTCCAGGGCTTAAGGACCTCAAGGGCTTTGGGGGCTTTAAGGACTGAAGGGATTCAGGAGCTAAGGGTTTCAGGGCTCAAACGTGTTGAGGGTTTGAGGGCTTCCAGGTTCAATGGCTCAAGTGTTTCAGGGCTTGAAGGGTTAAGGGCTACAGCGCTTAAGGGTAGAATGTTAAGTTATCGTGGATTAAACACTGAAGGGCTGCATGGGCTTAAGGGCTTTAGGCTTTAAGTGGTTAAGGGTTTAAGGGGCTTAAGGTTGAAGGGTTTCTGGGTTTCAGGGTTTATGTGTTTAGGGACTCAAGGGTTTGAGGACTTGAGGGAAGGAGTTGGCGAGCGAGGGAGGGGTGGGAAGGAAAGGAGGAGGGGGAGGATATGGAGGAAGAGGAGGCGGAGCAGGAGGAGGAGGAGGAGGAGGAGGGGAGGAGGACGGGGGGAGGAGGAGGAAGAGGAGGAGGAAGAGGAGGAGGGGGAGGAGGAGGACCAGTGTAAACCCAAGAGTAATCAACGATGTTGGAGACAACCCTCCCTCCAAGCTCCCTCTTCATAGGCCCCTACAACGGTTCATGTCGATTGATGGAACTGCCTGGTTGGAAGACACCCGCTTGAAGACCCCGAAGCATGCCAAACCATTCTTCTCGGGATTTCAACTCCACGGATCAACCTGAATGCTGCGTATTGACGATCCTGAATCGTGCCAGAACGCCATTCCTAGGACGTCAGCACAGAAAACTAACTTAACTGTTGCACCCGCATAATCTTGAATCCTTCCAAAACACCATTTCTGGTACGTTGATGGTGGAAACCTGAGCATGTTCTAAACAAATGTGCGCGGCGCTACGACGAGAACGACAGTTTGAAAAGGAACCGCCCTCAACCCGTGAAACTCTTGCAAATATTGAAAACGAATGTGCGCCGCGCTAAAGCGAGAGCAACATTTTGAAAAGGAAACGCCCTCAATCTGCGAAGCCCTTGTAATTTTTTGAAACGAATGCGCGCGGCGCCAAGGTGAGAGCCACATGTTGAAAACCACCCGCCCTCAATCTGAATGTTTCGCGCTAGCGCGAGAGCCACATTTTGAAAACGACCCGCCCTCCATCTGTGAAACTGCTACCACGTTTTAAGCTTCAGAGTCAAAAGTGGTGAGGAAGTCCCAGGCGAAACGCCCAGCCCGCCCTAAAAACTTGCCTCGAGGTGCGACTGGGGGAAATTGCTTGTAAGGAAAAGGAATGGAGGAGGAGCAGGACGAGGACGAGGACAAGGAGGACGAGGACGAGGAGGAGGAGGACGAGGAGGGGGTGGAGGAGGCGGAAGAGGCGGAGGAGGAGGAGGTGGTGAGTCATGTGAACCAGACGATGGAGCAAGCTCCCTCGCGAGCAGGGGAAACAGACGCCCCGAACCAGACGGCACAAGTTGGTTGCAATTCATATTTGAGTGGCTGTAATGTGTACCAAAGTGGCTGGAAATAGTACTGATGTGGTTGGAATTGGTTTTACTTGGTTGTAATGTGTTCCATTTCCCCCTCCCCACCCACCTCACCCCCACTCCCCCCCCGCCCCCCCCCTCCCCTCCTTCCCCCTCTCCCCCCCCCCTCCCCCTCGCCCTCCTGTCCCCTCCGCCCCCTCCACCCCTCATTACGCTTCGTTGCCCCACAGGGAGCTCCACCGAAGGCCCCAGAGTGGAAGGGTCCGCATGCGTGCCCACGCCCAATTCGGCAAACCCCTCGCAGGCTTCGTGGCCCCAGGGGGAGTTCCCCCTCATTTGCCCCATCTGTCTTGCGATAGTTGGGCATGCACATGGTTGGGTCCCTCTTCTGAGTTAGGTTTGGTACGTTGGCCCCCTGAACTTTGAACCCATTCCCCATGCAGGCCTTGCGTTCCATCCCGAGTCGTTTTTGACGGTCCTGAGGCACGAAACCGGCCAGGCCCGAAGCTGGCCTCCACATGCCAAACATGGCGACAAGCCGACCGCCCCGATCTGTTGGAAGCGCCGGATGTCTGGCCTTGCATCCTCGGCCTTCCCCACCGGCTTCAACTTGACATGCTGGCCACGGTGGGCGCGCCGCGGACAGCGTGCCCCACCCCTGCCCCCCGAGGGGGCAGCGTGGGCACGCTTCCCGAGGCGACGCCGAGGAGAAAGCAGGGGGGTCCATCTGGCAGCGCACGGTCGCAAGGGGCAGAAGGAGGAGGATCGAGTACGGGGGGGCGTTGATTAAGGAATGCGCCCAGGGGGCTTCAGACCCTGGAGGATTCCTTATCTGATGAGGTCGGCAGTGATATCCATGGCCATTCCACGATTGGTGTTCCACCAGCTTCCAGACCCTGGATTCCTTATCCAATGGTTCCTTATCCAAAGCCCCCACCGTGGTGGTTCTCACGCCCGACGGCGAGTGGTTGGCGCAGGCGTGGGGGGCAGTGCCGCCTGCCCTTTTGCCCAGCCAGACGGCGAGGGCAGGCGAGGACTACGCGGCGGTGGTCGCCCTCACGGACATCGTCGGCCACTACCACCTCATGATCGACTGCCTCGGCACGGTCGGGGCTTGCAAGGACGTGAAGAGGGCGGCGGCCCCGACGGCCCAGTTTGCCCACCTCTGGGCCAGGGTCGGCGACGCCGCCGAGGGGGTGCACGTGAAGCACATCCCCGCCCACCGTTCTCGGGCGGCAGTCGAGCAGGGCGTACTCTCGGAGGTGGAGCTCTACGGCAACCGCCTCGCGGACCAGCTCGCGAAGGCGGGCGCGGCGCTGCACGCCATCGCCGACGAGGAGGCCCTCCTGCTCCAGGGCTGCCTGGCCCGCGCCCGTGACGCGGCGCGGTACGCCGCCGAGTTCGAGGCCCAGGCTACGGAGTCGGGCTTGCGGGACTCCTGGCCCATCAGCTCGCTGGAGCTCGTCGACCTCACCCCCATACATGGCGGCGGAGCTCGACGGCGAGACCGACTT